GGGGCATGACAACCATGATTGCCCAATTAATTGCCATTACCATGACTTAACTTAATTGCCTCTACAAAACACACGTTAGTCACAGTAATCACGTATTGTCATTAATCACCGAAATCCAACTAGGGGCCTAGATGCTTTCAGACGGTACGTAGTCCGATTCCAAGACATATCGGCACATATGATGTGATGGTAAATAAATATCCAGGCCATAAATTGTCTACACGCAATAAACTTTTTCTGTTACAACGCATGGACATATTAATTTCCTAAGGCTATTCTCATGGAAGTTTCATCAAAGTTTTATTTGCATTTAATAACATGCCACATAAGCATTTTTAATGATGTGTCAATGTTTTTAAAAATAGAGAGAAGAAGTGAGTTTCAAGGTGATGAAACTTTGGCTCGGTTACAACTCAAGATAGGTCATACAATTTTATGTCTAATAAACAAAAGAATGAAACTATGTAATGAAGCTCTCTACCGAGAATGACCTAAGAAATTATTGTGGCAGATAGTTTGGGGAGTTTAAAAGTTGCATGGATATAAGCTATAATAATAACTATTTTTAAAAAATAAAAACACTTCCATGTGGAAAACATTTTTTAATAAAAAATAGAAAAATTGGTAATAGGAGATTGAGCGTGACCCTCCTAACGCCCGCGCCAAATTATAGTTTTTTAATTAAATTTGGATTCGCCGAATCAAAGGTACGAAGATGGCCAAATTATAGGTTTTAAAAAATAGGATTTTTCATCTGACACCGGTGATTTGGAACAGCAAAACAACATGGCTGTGTTACACGTATCACATATAACAATCCAATAGTCTGCTCATCATGTGGCACCATATCACAGAGAATATTATGGCACGCATTGCGGACATAATTAGCAAGCAAAGCCAGCAGCTTTGCACGTATAAACAAGTCAGTAATTGACTGACAAAGAGCGGCCGGGATCATCAGGGGACTTCCGTTGAGTCCCTCGCCACCGCGCCAACCATATGAGAATGCATGATACACACATACGGGCAATCGAGAAATAATATATAATTCTGATTCTGCGATAATCGTGGATCTGAAAAGCGAAACAGCGGGCAGGCGACAGCGATTCTGAATATCGTCCTCGCGCGCGTGGGGTAGGCATGCATCGCTACTAAAGAAACGTTTTTTCTAAGGGTGGCTCGTAACTCTTTGCAGAGATGGTTTAACTAGCCGTCTCTACTAAATCGTCTCTATAAATTATGTATTTGTAGGGCGGCTGATAATACTTGTTTGTAGGGGCGGTTAAGTCTAGAACCGTCCCTACAGTACGTTTTTCCATAAAAAAATTTAAATTTATAATTCAAATTCGATTAGAACACTGTTTATTTCCACGTATTCCATCCAGGAGGAGGATGAGGAGGACGAGGCTGAGGAGGCGGCGGGGGGTTCCTCTTCCTGTGGTGCGGCGGCAGGGGGCTCCTCTTTCTCTAGCATGGCTAAACTCTATCAGCGAGGTCCCTCGCAACTCCCGAAGCGACCGATACCTCTTGAGAGACGCCCGATGGTTCGACCTGGTGGTTCAAAGTAAGTAACTTTACATGATGTCACTATTTTCTCATTTGTTATGTTGAAACTAATAATTTTTCTTGATCACTTGGGCAGGGGTTTCGTGATTGTGGGTGCAGGTGGTCACGGACGCCATCCCAATAGTGTTCTTGGTCTTTTGTGCAAGACACACTTCCCTGGCTTTGTTGACTTTGCCGGAGTGCGACAGCCGGCCTGGACGTTTGCCCACTACGCCGTCTGCGCAGATGCATATGATCGGGATGGCAGGATCTACGGCCACAAGGCAAAGCGGGTGATTACAGAGCTGTGGGTAAGTCTTTGTCTCACTACACTGCTCAATTCATCGCATTCATTGGATATTCTTCAAATAATGATAGGATACATTGCGTCTACATACATGATTTCTTCAGATGCGAACCGGGATGGGAGGTGGCAGCGAGGGCAGCGGCTAACAAAGCTTGTCACAAACTCGTGGGTGACATGCACTACGAGGCGCGCCTCCAGGCCGTCGTGACACACAACGCGACCTTCAAGTTTAGGAAGGTCACGAAAAAAGAGGCAAGAAAGGAGACGCTGACCAAGAAACAATACATGAAGGTAAATATATAAGATTAATACTGATTTTTTTTCTAAGATTAAATAAGCTTAATTTGATCTACATATACTTGATGTCGTGTAGGTGGTTCCATGGTGGTGCACTGGGCACGAAGACTGCTGGGAGGCAATGGTGGACAAGTGGTGCAGCCCCGAGTGGTGGGAGACGCACAACGCTTGCCGGGAGCGGCGTTTGATGATGCCTGGTGCACCACACCATCAAGGAAACCTTTGCCTCCCGGCCTACACAGCTAAATGGGTACGCTGAATCTATTTCTTTATTCTAAAGCTCAACTATGCAAATTTCTAATCATCCTGCTGTTTCTTTCGCAGTCGGCGTCACATGGTGGCGCGCCCGTCTCCCAGTTCGAGGCGTGGGCAATGGCCCACAAGGGCAAGGCGACGTCTGACGTCCACTACAACCCGGAGGACCTGCCCGAGGCGTACAACAACTCGTCCGTCCACACCCGCCTCACTGAGTACACAGCGATGGCAAGGGAGGTCCATGGGCCAGAGTACGATCCCACCTCCGAGGACCTTGATGGAGAAGTCGTCATGAGGTTGGGAGGAGGGAAGAAGCACGGGCGGTACTGGATTGGTGACGGCGCAATCGACCCGGCCCGTACTAGGTCTCTCTCCGAGATTTGAGCAAGGAGCACGAGCTCGAGCCCGCCCATACGCACACGGCCGGACTGTACACAGCACACGGTGCAGGCACTCAAGGTTATTTCTGTTTTATTCGTCGTTCATTGATTTTTACATACCTTTGCTTTGCGTTGTATCATTGGGGTGAAATATTGTAGGCCGAGGTGGCGGAAGAGAGGAGGCAACGGGAGGAGGTTGAGGCGAGGGCTGAGGAGGATCGACGGAGGATGGAGCAGATGTTTTAGTATATTCAAGGTCTTGGAGCTCACTCAGACTATGTTCCGCCACCGATGATATTCACTCCACCAAATGATCCTGCTGTCACTCCTGTGAGTTTCTCTACCTTAAATCTAAATGTGAATGTGGATATGGATATATGAATGTGAATCCAAATGATATGTTGAGACAAATGGACCATGATATGTGAATATACATATGTGGTTGTCGGTCATCATACCGTTGTTTTATTGTAGGTTTTGGACACCTCACCGTGTAGGGGAGGTGCTGCCGAAATTTCGAACTGACACTAATATGTTGTTTTTTTCAAGTTTTTAGAACCTACCTTAAATCTTGTCTCACACATGCAATCACTTCTCTTTTGTGCAGGGGCAATCGACGGCGGCGAATGATGTTCATGGCACACCTCCAGCTCAGGGCACACCTCCGTCACAGTGGGACCGGTGGAGTGGCCGTCAACAATAGAGGTAGATGGACTTGTGCTTGTGATGCTTATTTGTGAATGGTGGCACTTGTGGCGGCACTTGGATGATATTTATGGACTATGTGATACTTGTGGACAACTTGTGATGATATTTGTCATGGTTATGGATTATATGTGATGGCTGTGTGATATATGTGATTGTTGTGTGATATGTGATATATATGTGATGGTTGTGTGATATATGTATGTGTGGATGCAATAAACAAAAAAAATACAAAAAAGCAAATTTCCCAGCTATGCCGAGTGCAATCACCAAGACACTCGGCAAAGCTGGAAGGCTTTGCCGAGTGCTATGACCATTACACTCGGCAAAGGCAGGGAGACTTTGCCGAGTGCCACAAGTAAGGCACTCGGCAAAGCCTCCCTGCCTTTGCCGAGTGCCGCCAATTAGGCACTCAGCAAAGTGGCCACCTTTGCCGAGTGTAGTGGGATTGACACTCGGCAAAGAGGGCGGGCTTTGCTGAGTGCCCCCCGTGAGGCGCTCGGCAAAGCGACCGTCACCGTCCGCCGTCAGGCAACTTTTCTTTGCCGAGTGGTTTACGGGAAAGCCTTTGCCGAGTGCCCGACAAAAGACACTCGGCAAAGAGGCCTTTGCCGTCACCGGTTTTGCTGAGTGATCTTTGCCGAGGGTTACACTCGGCAAAGGCTTTGCCGAGTGTCACAGGCACTCGGCAAAGAGCTTGAGTCCGATAGTGTGGGCTGCCGACACGGCACGGCTCAGCGCTCTGCCTGGGCCGAGTGTTGGGCATGATGGCACGACACGGCACGGCTACTACGTAGTGCCTTGTCCAATAGTGCCAGGGCCCGGCCGCCCGTTTGGTCATTTATAAGGCCAGGTCCTTATGGCTATGAACAGAATTTAAAAAATGCGCATTTCGATTCAGTAATTTGCATACGATGATCACAGTGATCAAAGATGGATGGAATAGTTCCATATTTTCACTACTCATAATCCAAACCTGATAAACAAATTGGACGCAAGGCAGAAAGGTCTACGGGACCGGAGAACCGTCGGATGGTGACCGGACGGCACGGAAGCGGTCCATGATCCTGCAGCGCCGATAGCAACGCCTGTGTCCGAGAACCCACCGGCCCCACTGCGGCGTCTCGCCGAAGCAGCGGTGGCGTGGGCTGCTGGAACACACGGGAACGCGACAGTCTCTACGGCTGGAGGCTGACGGATGGATCGGGGTTCCCTTCACCACCAGCCAAGCGCACCCGCGCGACGTGTCGGCCTACAGGCGTCTCGCCGCGAGTCCTCGGCAGCCTCACGACTCACGAGGCGGGCTCGGCTTTACCGGGCGGTGAACGGCCCGCGTCGTTCGCGCCACTCGCTGTACCTGCCTGACTTTCAAAAAGGGTGGCGTGTCACCGCCTGGTTACTCTCAGTACTCACAGTCATAAGATTCGCGTCGCGGATTAAGTGAATCGAGGCTCGTCAAGTCCGGCGGTGCCGTCCAGAGAGCTAGAGCCTAGAGCACAGCCAGCCCCGCCATGGCGGCCGCGGCGCGCGCGATCATCTGCGAGCTAGCGCCGCAAAAGGTGTCGTCGACAACGGCGGCGGCGGCGGCGTCGGGGCCTGCGGCGCCGAAGAAGCGCGACGCTGGGACGAAGGTGGTGCTCCAGCCCCGGCTCTGCACGCTGCGGTCGTACGGCGCCGGCAGCGGCGTGGTGACGCGGAGGATTCTGGTCGGGGAGGAGGACGGGAGCCGGGCCGCCGACTCGGGCGGCGGCTCCGGATCCGCGGCGTCACCGTTCTTCGCCTCCCTCAACGACTACATCGAGAGCTCCCGCAAGAGTCAGGACTTCGAGACCATCTCCGGGCGCCTCGCCATGGTGAGTGACTGATGAGGCCCCTCTTCCCCTCTGCTCTGCTCTGCTCCTCCCCGTACACAGTACACGTGTAACACGTCGGATCCATGGTTTAATTAAAACCTCGCGTTGCTGGAGCTGCTACGTACGTACATGCAGTTGGCGTTCGCGGCGGCGGTGGCCGTGGAGACGACGACGGGCAGTTCCCTGTTTAAGAAGCTGGACACGATGGAGATCGAGGAGGCGGCGGGGGTGTGCGTGGCGGTGGTCGCCTGCGCCGCGGCGTTCGCGTGGGCGTCCAGCGCGCGCAACAGGATCGGCCAGATGTTCACGCTGGGGTGCAACGCCTTCGTCGACTCCCTCATCGACAACATCGTCGAGGCGCTCTTCTCCGAGGGCGAGCTGCAGGACTGGTCCGACGACATATAAACATGCACATATGTACACGCATAGAGATTAGCAGATAATAGACAGTAGCAGTACGTATATACATAGAGTGAAGTATTTGTAGTAAGAAGATGAAGCTGTTGAGTGAGATCCACGCATTTCGCAAGCTTCGTCATCGCTGCACAACGGCAAGGATGTTGTTCTGAATCTTTCAGAGATGGGATCCTGCTCCTGCAAGGGTGCTCTGTGATCAGAGCTCTGCATTCTGCGTAGGAACACAGGCAGGATCTCTCGCAGTAGTCAGGGGGTTCTTCATGGTTGCGAAACTTGTAGATCTCTTGGCAGAAATAGTGTCCTGGGGAGGATTGGCCCCTTGAATTAACTGTACCTACTACTAGTACTAGACATACCGAGTGTAATTAGAGAATGAAGCATGTAATCAAAGCCATGTACTATGCATACCGAGTGTAGTTAGGAGTCAATTCTGGAGCATTGACTCTTGACATTATGCCACAAGGAGTGGAGACGAAACATATACACCGTGCTTCTTTATGTGTCCCTTGCTCCATTCTGTTGACAGTATTCATGTGTCTGAAGAAATACTTTATGACTGACAGACTGAGTCGGTGTGGATAAACATTCTAGAGAAAACTGCAGGATATTTCCTTATACATAACACACGCAAAGTAACACTTTGTAAATATTAAGTTTAGCATCTTGCAGTTTGCACTTTCAACTTTTTGTGATTTAGAACCTGCGGACTATACGAAAACAAAGACAACAAAGTTAGATCCCTCATTTAGTACTCATCAGTTACAACTTGAGAAGCGAGGTGGGTGGTCTGGTCCTCATCATACAACTAGGACTATTCACGGACCTCAAAGACCAGTACTCTCTCCATTGTATTCAAGGCGCACACTCAATCTTAAATTCAAATTTGTTAATCTTTAACTATCACTTATTCAAAAAATCTGTAGACTCCACCTTACAAATTCAGTATTATTAGATTTATATTTGAAAACACTTTATATTCTATATATGTCCAATTCATAGTATGAATATTACAGCATACAAGCTCAGATATTAATGGTCAAACTGTGATGTTGGAGAGGGCAATCGCGCCTTATACGAAAACAAAAGATGGGAGTAATATTTGTGCCACACGTGTATGATAGTAAATGGCAGCAGATTAGGCCATTGTTTTTTGTCATTATGTAAATTTCCTTCGCTTTCGAGTACTTGACTTCCCTGTGATCTGAGTTTCTGATGTCTACAGAAGTACAGATATCGACGATGATGACTAGGATTTCTCCTTCCTACGCTTGGATCCTCTCCTCCACCTCATTGCTCAACGAAGCAACAGCAGTAGTAGTCAGAAGCGGTGAAACAATATCAAGTCCAGTGATGCTAGTACACTCATGTTACATTGTAATCAGGAGGCATTCTCTATTGCTTCAATGCACCCCAACACGCTTGCCTTTTGGGACATCCCTGACATAAGCGCTTCATGGGCTGCCTTATTGTTCTTGAGAAGTGATGCAGCAAACAGGACCTGAAATGCAAAAGAAGGGGATCAATCGACATTTAGGTTATGCTTCTATTAGGTCAAGAGAGATGGAGGGATAACTCACTGCTCATCTGGTAAGGTTTTGTTGCTGATCTTTGCTTAGTTGCGGCTTAGTTCTGTTTATGAACCTTTAAAAGCAAACAAACGAGAAATTCTTCAGATGCAGTTTTCTGAAGATATAGCGAATATGTGACAATATAGAATTGTTGAGGATATGATTAGCTCTTAAAGCACCTGAAGGGTGAAAAGATCTGCTGATTGACCTACAACTTTGTCATATTGTAGACCTTCAGCAGCCAGTCCTGCCATTGAAATTACAGCTAACCTGAGAAAAAACTTGTGGGTGTCCGTAGCTTGCATATTTGTTTGATCCTGTGACATTATTGCAGGTCTGAAGTATGGACAGGTTAAAAAAAAGGGCTACCTGTCTAGTTCCTTTCCATCAAGCTGCCCACTGTATATTAGCTTTTGTAACTGCTCATCTATCAAATTGACATGCTCGTTTCCGATGTCCAAAGAATATCCAAGGATAGGGAGGCCAATCAAATAGGCGACTGGATTTTCAATAAAACTTCCATCCAGTAAATTCCTACTGCAGATATAATCTTGCTAGGAAAACAGAATCACATACCTAGGAAGTGAGCAGCTTCATGCCTAGCAATTCTCTCCTGGTAGTCAGGAAAGACTGTAGAAAACGCTCCAATTTCTGCTTGCAGAAGACTACAATGATGGTATGCATGATTAACATGGGTTCATAATTAATCTTCAAACAGTTTTACATGGAGCACGGAAATTTCTCTGTCCCAAAAAAACGACCATCATTTTTACATTGGGCTATAATTTGTCATGTTAGCAGTAATGCATTGAATCGAATGACCATTTTGCATGTTCCTGATTTTTATTTTCTTGAGACAGTATAAGTTATATGAGGACACTAGTCTTGCCTTATTCATGTCTAAGCAAACTTTGCTCTGGGAGATGATGTAATTATGGAGACGGGTGCATCTGAATCTCTCTTCGAAACTTGCACAGGTGAAGAAACACGTACCCTGGAGCAACGCTTCCGACAGCCAATATGATCAATGAAATGCTTCCAATCAAGTAGGGAACAAAGAAGCCCCAATCCTGGCAGAGATAATTGTAGAAGATTCATTAAACCTTGAGTTCCTTTTCATTTAGATGTCGAGATCACAATCAATTTTGCAGGTACCCTATGATTCAAGTCCTCTATGCTCATCTTATTTGAAAGTACACGGAGCAGGTGTCATGGAAATAGTAATACCCCAGGGAGCTGGCCTGCAAGGACGGCTAAGAATCCAGTGGTACCCACAACTGTAAACAAAAATGCCGCCTGCACTCAAAGAAAACGCAGGATTACACTCTGAAAAGCACAGGATATTTAGCTCTGAACGATGTTACATTTGTTTCAAGTTCAGCTAACAGAAGAACAACATTTCAATTACGAAAGACTTGAACTGTGGAACAAGTAACAACACTCACATCATTTCTAACACTTGGAATCGCCAAATTCTCAGCATTCTTGATTCCAAGGGTAGTGAGCTCCCGCAGAGATGTCTGTTCCAGTCCAGAATGCAGGCTCATCAGTTAGAATCAATCAGAGCCATGTATGTAGATACAACGATCAAAGATTCAAAGGCTACGTGATGGTTTCATTATGAAAATTGCACGAGCAAATGCACGACAGGATTATGCATCCTGCAAACACGAAAATTGATGCCTGAGAAGACACGGCACTGACCGTGCGACGCGACACGTAGGGCTGCGAGCTCCAACGCTTGGCCCATCCGAGCTCTCTCAGCTGGTCCAGCGCCTCCTTAACATCATCGCTGCTTTTCTGCAGCACCACCCAACTCAAATGCATCATACACCAGATTGCTTGCTAAACAACAGTCAGAAAGCCGGTGCTGCGACTGCCGCTCACCTTCAGCCTGATCGCTGGGAGCGGCTGGTTGGGCTGGCTGGCCAGCCCTCTCAGCAAAATACTGTTTACGCGAACCAGCCAGCAGTATTTTTCTCTCACATAAACGAACCAGCAACGATACGAACCAGCCAAGCTGCTTGTCGATGGCGGCCTGCAGCGCTTTCAGGTCCACCCCGGACGCCGCCGAAGACGAGGCTGCCGCGGCGAGCCAACGGCGGCGCGGGCCGACGGAGCTCGCGGTGGGCGCGACCACGATCGCCATTGGCTCCCCTGCGCGCGCGGTTCTGCGGCCGACCGCCAACGGTAGGAGATAACACATCAGAGTTCAGAGTTCAGAGTCTTTCGTCGTGATCTTCTGAGGCGTAGATTTCGTGCGTCGCTGAACGCGCCGTCGTGTCACCTCCTGCGCCCACGGCGTGCTTTTTGTTGCGTGCGACACGCGCTCCAGAAGATCCGAGCGACCGAGCCGCGCGTTTGGAGGTGGAGTTTGCGCCGGAAAATGCTGAGCCACAAAAAATCAAGCCGTTACAAACACTACTACTCCATTTGGCGCCTATCGCATCCGTTTCTCCAGTTTCGTCTTCCCCGCTTGCCCCAACCTCCTCTCAAAATCTCCGTTCCCAATTCGAATCCCCCAGATCCTCCGCGTCGCCAGAAGCCCAGATGCTTCTCCTGCAGCCCCGCGCAGTCCCTGCGCCTGCTCTGCGGGGGAGGCCTCCTCGGCCACGCCGGCGGCTGGTGCCACCTCCCCTCGCCTCCGCGCCCAGTTCCATCGTTGTCAGCTCCGACGAGGACGCATTCACCAGGTGCTCCGGGTACCTGTTCGAGGAGGGAGCGGCTACCGAGTCGGAGCTCCCCACCGCGTACGACCTCCCCGGCATCGCGGCCGTGTACCGCCGCCGCCCGCTCCTCGTGCTCCGCCGCTCGCTGCAGATCGGCACCTCCTTCGGCCGGTGGTTCGCGCTGCGGTACCTCGACCGCGTCAACGAGCGCGCGGACGACATGTTCGAGGTCCGCGCAGCGCGCTGACGCTACCTTTGCTTGTGATCGGTCCCGCGCACGCTTTCTGTTTGATCAAATTCCTTGGCCTGTTTTGGTTCACCTTCGGTGCTTGACACGATGAGTTGGTGTTGTCTTTGCAGCTTCGGGCGGCTCAGCTCAGGAGGATACTGTTGGAGCTTGGTCCGGTATGTCTCATTTTCCATTGCCTACCTGTTCATGTTTTTTTTTTAGGGAAACTGGAGGGGTTTGCACCCCTACAGTGCTCCTGCCTGTTCATGTGTGCGTCCCTTATCTGATTATGATTAATGTCTATTGATGTTGCTCTTTTAATCACAGGCATTTGTGAAGATCGCACAAGCAGTTTCGTCACGGCCGGGGAGGTTCACTAGTCGTTGCATTTTCATTTCACCTATTCCTATTGGGATTGCAAGCTTGGAGTGCCTTAACTTTAGATGTTTGACACTTGTTGGCTTCTTTGTTTCATTTGCTGCAGGATGTTGTTCCACCTGCATACCTTGATGAGCTCTCACTACTTCAGGACCGCATAGCACCATTTTCAAACGATGTTGCTTTTAACATTATAGAGAAAGAGCTTGGGCTGCCACTGAATATGATTTTCTCTGAGATAACACCAGAGCCTGTTGCTGCTGCATCTCTTGGGCAGGTCCGATCGCTCTATCATTTTTAACGTATTCATTCTTGTCATGAATCGATTAACCACTCTTAGCAGCATTTTGTATTTCTAAATACGGAAGCAGAGCACAGTTGCATGTAGTCACGTGCATTTGGATAGTTGAGCTATTAGTTATTTGTCTGCAATATTGCATCCTCTCTATATTTTCATTGTTTCAACTTCTAACACCAGAAGTGATGGGCAACTGAACTTCAGCTTTGCACGTTAATACTTTTTTTTTCTGGATGTTCCCCTAAAGGGACGAAAATAAGTGCACCTCAAATTTAGGAGCAACTAAAAGTACTGTATAATGGAAATCTGAACCTTTATGAAGTTTCAACACCATATCACATGTTTCTTTAAAGGAACCACAAATGAGTAACTTCCCGGAGTTGGAATTTGTGACAACTAAAGGCACAATAGGATGGAACCCTGAACTTCCTTGATAAAATCAAATATTAGTCAATTCACACTTAGTGTGGATAACCATGGAATTTCATCTCCAGTGATACAACATTCCATTTTTCTTACTTTTGTAGGTTTACCAGGCTAGGCTCCGCTCCAATGGTAAGGTTGTTGCTGTCAAAGTACAAAGACCTGGAGTTCAAGCAGCAATTTCATTAGACATATATATCTTGAGGTTCCTAGCTAGTCTTGCAAGGAAGGCTGCCAAGTTGAACACAGACCTTCCAGTAAGTCTGACTGCTGTTAGTACCATGTAATCAGCTGAAGAATTTGTTTTTCTTTAAAGAGGTCAAAAACAGAAAAATAACCCCACATTAAGGGAAAATCTTTTTAAAAGAACAACTATATTATTCTGTATCAGTTATGTTGTGCCTCTTATATTTTACTTGTTTTCTAATCACATGTATTTGCTTCTTGTATGTGCAGGTTGTTCTTGATGAATGGGCATCAAGCCTATTTCGGGTAACTCTTCTCCATATATGATGACATGCTATTTCTATAGTGAATATATCTATACATCAATTTTGTTCATTTACTTCAGTTCACTTCAACACATTTCAATTTGGTTATAGCATCTGTAGGCATTGGCATGAGATAATATTAGATTGAAGTATGAAAAGTAACCATTAACTTGAGGCTTATGTCTTAACCCTTAGAATGATTTCATTGCTATGTGGATAATAGCAGTTTGCTAGAAAAACAATCTAGGAAAAATTATGAGAGGTCAACATCCAAAATGTGGTATTGGTTACGGGATCCAAACGAACATTTAAAATTTGTTAATTGTTTTTTGTGCTATGATTCTATTTATAGTTCACTATGCTCAAGTAATTTCAAGGTTGCAAGTTATGAACACATGTTGTCATATATCCAAGGAGGAATATAAATGTCAATCTTTTTCAATGTGACAGTGGTTTGAAACCATTGCATTTATACTTTTACCGTGAGAGTACATAGCTTTTGTGATAATCTTCTTTTCGAAAGCCTGACGAAGAAATGTTGATACTATTCTGGCAAGACTGTGCCAGCAGTATTCTAGGCTATGTCAGACGTCTGATTAAAATATTAGCTGTATATCCTTAGATATTCACATTGAATACAGGTAAATCACATTTGATGCAGGAGATGGATTATAGAGAAGAAGCAAGAAATGGACTTAAGTTCAGGTTGAATTCTTCGTCCATTAGACAAGGTCTAGTTCAACGCATTGGATACACACCTTCGTTGAGAAATATATGTTTTTTAGAGCCTGAATGGTCAAACATCCTTCACTTTCACGACAAATATAGGCAAAATTATTTAGCTTGGGACCATCAGATTTATTCGAGAGTTACTTTCCTAATATAAAATATTTGTACTTTTTCAGTAAAATATCTATTATATATATTACATATTAATATATAAATTGATATCCAAGTTGCTTATTTGAGACTATCTCATCATATGGGTTCCTCAAACATCTTTTGATTCTGTGACAGAGAATTGTTTGGGAAATTTAGAGATGTCTCGGTTCCTGAAATGTATCTGGAGCAAACTAGAAGGCGAGTCCTTATCATGGAATGGATCGAGGTGCACAGTCTGTGATCTTATTCAACTGTTAACAAATGAACATGCATGCAAAAATTGCAGTTTGTAATTCTACTTGCGCTTTGTGATCTTGTAGGGGGAAAAGTTGTCAGAAGTCAGAGATCAGTATTTGGTTGAGGTAAAGGACTGTCAAAGCTCAAATAATGACATAAAACTGGGCTTTCTAAGCACATCGATCAGATTGATTATGCTGGCATATTTTACATTACAGGTTGGAGTATATTGTTCGCTTTCCCAGCTATTAGAGTATGGATTTTATCATGCAGATCCACACCCCGGAAATCTTCTGCGTACAGTTGATGGGAAATTAGCCTACTTAGGTAATGGTTATATTTTCTATATCTTCACTAAAGAATGCACGTTTATAGACTTTTGGGTTCCCAGTTTACTGTCTTGATCATCTTGAGTGCTGCTGCCCTTTGTGTGACCAAGAGGAGGAAAATATTCAGCACTTGCTCACATCTTGTGTCTTCACAAGAAGTGTATGGTTTTCGGTCTTATCTCTAGTTAGGCTGCGACACTTATCCTCAGGAACAAAAGAATGCACTTTAATGGATTGGTGGTGCCTAGCTTTGCAGCATGTTCGGAAACATCATCGCAAGGGTTTCAACTCATTGGTCGTCCTGGTGGCATGGTGGATATGGAAGCATAGAAATGGTTGCATTTTTTAGGGATCTCAGCCAGTTTTAATTCTATCATACAGGATATTAGAGATGAGGCCAAGTTGTGGTGTGTGGTGGCAGCCAAGGGGCTCCGTAGCTTATGGCCATGACTGCTTTGTTGGTCTTTGGTTATTACTTAGTTTGTTTTCAGTGTTTTTCTGCTATAATGGTCATGCCCTTCTAAGGGGTTGTTTGAGTCACTTAGACTCTTTATTCTTCTACTTAATATAAATGATACGCAGCTCTCCTGCGTGTTCAAGAGAGAAAAAAAAACTTTACAACCAATTGAATGAAGCTCACACTATTTCGACTAAATGTGACACACTATTTGTCAATAGATTTTGGGATGATGGGAGAATTCCGACAAGACCTTCGTGATGGATTTATTGAAGCTTGTCTTCATCTTGTTAACCGTGATTTTGATGCTTTAGCAAAAGATTTTGTAACCCTTGGGTAAGAAAATTACTCTGAACTAATATGAATCAGTTTTCACACATTAGGTTGGTTGTCAGTATCAGTATCATTATGTGATAAGTTAGGTTTCTGAAGTGGAATTCGTTTATACTAATGATCCAGTAAATGCAACTTATCTTTACAAATCTTGCAGTTTACTTCCTCCAACTGCCCAGAAGGGTGAAGTCACAAAGGCATTGACAGGTATTCTAGTTCTGGATGAATGTTGGATATGTTTAAACATAACTTAGAATTAGTTGATCTAGATACTGTTGTACTAATCTCAAATTTGTAGATCAGGAGTCTTGCCATAATACTTGTCCAATTGGCATATCACTCGGTATCCTACTTCCTTATTTTTGTCCCAGGTGTATTTGAGAACGCTGTTAACAGAGGAGTTCAGAATATAAGCTTTGGAGATCTGTCAGGAAATCTTGGACGAACAATGTACTATTCTAGTTTATAGATAACCATTTCTTCAATAGACGTACTGTAAGTTTGTCCTATTAACTAGAGTTAACGTTGTTTCAGGTATAAATTCAAGTTCCAGATACCTTCTTACTTTTCCCTTGTAATTCGAAGGTAACGAGTTTGTCTGCAAAAATTGAGCAAAGTGCTTCACTAATAGAGCTTGCAAACAGGCAGATGCTCTAGAATATGTCTGATATGTATGTTTTTGGTTCATTGGATAAGAGGTTTACCATGTGATTTTTCAGCCTTGCTGTTTTAGAAGGTATCGCAATCAGCTTCAATCCAAACTATAAAGTTCTGGGCAGTTCATATCCATGGATTGCAAGAAAAGTTCTCACTGACAGTTCACCAAAGCTTCGATCAACTTTGCAGACTCTTCTTTATAAGGTTGACATTTTTCTGCATTTGTATTCTTTGACGATTTTCAATCATACTAACTGCTAAGGTGTCAATCATGTTAACAAGTTTACAAGATCAATAGTGAATAGTGATAACTAATGATTGTTTACTTTGAAATATTTTTCAAGTTTCCTGCCTATATTATGCCCAAGCTTTTCTACTGCAAATTCTGTTTTGACTACCATCCTTTTTCTTCAACTATTATGTTACAGGATGGCACTTTCCAAATTGATCGCCTGGAATCTTTGTTAACTGAGGTTGGTTTCTTTCGTTCTATGTCTTATATAGATGCTACCTATCCCATCTAATATAGTTGTTTTGAGTTGTCATATATGATATATGTGATGTGAATAAAGATTTAATTGTTTGAAACTTCTTGTAAATTTTCCTTCTTAACATGAGGAAGAGGGTGGCCTATTCCAGCCAATCTGTAATGATGATTCACGTATTCATTTGGGTTTTGTACTTTTGTCATTAAACAAAATGGCTAAAGCGGCAGCTCTAATCAATGATGATTTACATGTTTACTATGAATATATCTTCACTTGGTAGCCTCCTGTGCTATCTATTTCTGAGCACATTCCTATTGCATGGTTCCTTTTACAGTCACTTCGTGCCAGAACAGAGCAATCATTGGTCAGAAATCAAGAAGATGTCGACAGTACGAGATATGCAATTAAGCAAGTCTTGTCATTCACATTCACTGACCAGGTTGGACCAAACTGGGCAAATAACTCTTCAATACTGAACTCTTCACCTTAACCAAACAAGATAGAACTTGGCAGATAAATATTTGAAGCTCTATGCTCTCTTGCAGGGTGCTTTTGTGAAGGATTTACTTCTTCAGGAGATTGCTAAGGTACTAGCCTGTTAAAGGCACAATTGCATATCAAGTGAGTTTGATCATCATAATATTTGGAAAATCCTGAGCATATTAAGATTATATATTCTAACTATTAAAACCTACCGAAAGCATTTCAGCAGAACTGGTTGCAAAATGTTAATTCATTTGTGAGTTTCTGTTTCACTTTTGTCGCAAAAGCAATAGGTCATTTTAACAGCTTAGGTTCCACTTTTGAACATTCTATGGCATGAATGCTAACAAGGGAGGTATCAAATAGTATACAGTTTATTTTTTAAACCAGTAACTTCATTCTTGGAATGCCTTAAACCCGTAACAAGCATTCCTTCTAGTTCATCTTCCTTCGGTTTTCAATAAACTTTGATTCACCTTTAGAATATCTGGAATCTTCTTCTTCCATTCATGTTTGATTAAAATGAATCTGCATACCTGTTTTGATAAGAATACTTTCTGGCTATGCATTCTCAAGAATTTAGTTTTTGCAGGGAATAGATGCACTTGGCGTAGCCACATTAAGCTCTGCAACGTCTGCAGCAGCCTCCAGATTGCCATTCGCTGGTGGCCCATCCCCATTGACCTCACTAGACGACGAGGATGCCACCAACTTAAGAAATCTGTATCGCCTGCTCCTACTTTTATCTAAGGTTTCTCAGAAGGAAAATCCATCTCCGGTAAGTACAATTTTCCATATATCTTAGATTTCAGCTTTGTTTATTCATTTGTGTGGAAGGGAAAAGAAAACTTAGGTTAGATATGGATATGTGATTGATCAAAAGCATAACATACATTATGTTGTGTACTATGAATACACGTCTCCTCTGATATTAGTTAAATGATTTAAAAAATATATATTGCAAGATTTACAACCTTTTTCTTTGAGCCTTTGTTCCTTTTGTTCATTCTGTATTATTTTTGCAGAGTCCTGGATATAACAGTGCCATAGAGAAGGAAGGTGGTAGCACGGATGAACTTTCTCTTGCGCTGTATGAAATGACCTCTCTGCCAGAATTTCTTCCAGTTCTTTCTGTCATTCCTGAGGTACGTTGGACATAAGTTAAGTGAGACTATATGTCAGAATCCATATGTCTACACATGGCTCATTTGTGTATACCCTTCTCCATCGAAGCTTCCACCGGAGTCCCAACAGCAGTTGCTTCTTCTGCCAGCGGATTTAACCAATCGTAATTTATCTCGGGCTGTCGCGAGAACCATTAGAAGACTGTTCATGTAAAGCCAAAGGTACAGAAATTTTCCGTCCCTGCTTCCTTAATTTTTATTTAACTATTCTTTTTGGTTCACTACTAGAAGATGAGGATTTTTTCTCTCTCCACTCCATATGGTAGCATCTAATCTAGAACCCAAGATCAATCCTTTTTTTTGTTCTTTACATAATGCTTTTGAAACACTGCTATGTACATATTTTTCAGAGTACAACAGGCATTGTAAATGGCCCATGTTGTTATGCACATATGGTGTAACTGACAAACTTTGAGTTAAATCTATGTGAACATAAAAATAATGCTGTAATGCATTTTTCCTCGAAAGCATGGATTCATGTCATTTGCTTGTTTCACAATCTGACATAGTGCAAATTGAAATGACAATACCATGCTATGCCCTAATGTCCCCATCAACCATTCATTGAGATAAATAGCAAATTATCATTGTTTTAACTGAAAGCTATTTACTTATTCATTTGCACAAGTACAAACTCAAACGGTCCTCTTTCATGCTGCATGAACAATAATCCAACAACACTGTAGAAAGAGTTTATGCAAAGGTATATGTACAATTAAACAAACAAGGGCCATATGTTGTGAGCATCCTTCCCCTCACATACAAGCAATCAGTTTCTGACCATGGTCTTCTCGGTAAGAAAACTTTCCATCTTTAGCAATGCCTGAAAGGGTTGAGGTGAAAATTTCTCAGTTAGATAGATATAGTTGTGAAGACCAATCCTGCTAAGTCAGAACAGGAAGAAAATAGAATTTCAGGATACCTCAATGGCGATGGTACTAGGTGTAAGTACAGTGACATCATTATGGCCTTGTTTTAATGCAATATCTGCATCATAAAGAATATGGTCAATCAATTGAATTTGCAGCATTGGGCTTAGCGAGTTTGTTAGTAGTATACAGCATTAGAAGGAAAAAAACAGGATTAGACATAGCAGATGTTACTAAAAATCATTGGAAACCTACGTTCAAGTGAAACTCTGGCATCAGCATTAGCATACGAGTCCATTCTTTGCTCAAAAAGTGATGTAAGTTTCGCATAAGCCTGCATTAGAAAATAAGAGGTCCTTAGCACTGTAAGGTTTACAAAAAATAGTATATATTGACTGGACCTCAAGAGGTCAATTCTCATATGAAGAGTATTAGTGGCTACCTTTGCATAAGGGTCACCAGATTCCTGATGCAAGAGTGGTCGAGATGCGGTTCCTACAGCAGCAATTCTTCTTGCAAGTGCATCCAGTGGAACATCTAACCACACAGTCAGCCCTTTCTTCATGTAACTCCTACAAACCCACAGTAAACTACGGTGAGAATTGGTTCTGAAGAGCAACATCAGGGTAGTTTATCACTTCCAGTACCAATTGATTGGTCGGATCACTGCACCACCTCCGGTTGCAACAACCAACCGATGCATTGATGACAGATCCCTCAGGACCTCACTCTTGACAAATCGAATGAAACAAGAGGATATCAGAAGAGTTGGTTATCAGGTACAGAGGGACTTCAATAGGAACTTAATGCTGTCAGCCTCTGATCACAGCATTTAAATCCGAGGTGGGGAATTGCCAATTCCATCTTCTTAGAAAGAAAAATGAATGGCTTGCGGACTTGGGAGTCTTTTCCCACACTTTCAACCTTCAATAAGGAAATAAATAAATAAATCTCATCATCTCTAGAGAAATAGACATATTACCTCATTATCTCTGAAGAATGCTTCGCTATGGAGCTGAAAGATCTCAGCAACAGATGATATACCAACAGCCTTCTCTACCAACTTATCACTGCAATCGGTATTGGCCAATAACATTTGTAAATCATAAGCAAAAAAGGTTACTTATGGAAGATTTTGGTGGAGGGTGAAGTTCATTATCAGAGAGAAATACAAACCTGTCGAAGAATGAATAACCTAATACTTCGGCTAATATCTTCCCAACTGTAGTTTTGCCTGAACCCATCATTCCTGCATACCAAGTACACAAACGATGATGGGATGAAGCTAGGGTCTGAGGTAAACTGGTGAAGTGGAGCTAGAAGCCAAGAACTAACCAACAAGATAAACGCAACGGCCATCTAAGTAAGGGAGAACATCCTGGGCTTTTTGCTGGAGTTAACATGTCCGTCATATTAGTAATTAATATATACATAAATAACCATAGCTGGTTGATGTATTTTCTCCATATACAAGGAAATCATCATTACATCATTTCCTATTTCTAGGGGGAAAACACATTTTCCTAACCTGTAGTATGAGAGCCTCGTCAGCAGAGTAGTGGACCTTTCCAGTTCCTGCAAACCATTATCATGTGTATCATATCTAATCGCGTGTTTAGTTCCACCCCAATTTCCAAAAAGTTGCTACAGTACCTGTCACATCGAATGTTTGCGGTCCGTGCATGGAGCATTAAATGTAGACGAAAAGATAAACTAATTGCACAGTTTGGTGGGAAATTACGAGACGAACGTTTTGAGCCTAATTAGTCCATGTTTGAACACTATTTGCCAAATAAAAACGAACGTGCTACAGTAGCCCCAAAATCCAAATTCCTACAACTAAACAAGGGCTAAACCGTCTGATAGCGGTACCACACATATAACCCCCCCAACCCCAAAAAAAAAGTCTGATACCACTAAATTGTCCCTTGAATGAGAATATATCCAGATGAAACGGCTAGTCCTCTAATTCCTCCTTAGCAGCAAACTAACTTCGAAGTGAAATTATCTAAATTGAACACCAGCGTTAAAAATGTTTTTATATGTTTGCTAACAGTAATCGTGTTGGCATAAAAATCATCATTTGGAGAGTCATTTGCATAAAAATCGTTTTCTATATCTATCCACTCTCCAACAGTTTTTCTACATCTGGTGTGCACTCTAGAGAGACATTTTTATTTTATATTTCTGTTTAGCGAGAAATCCAAAATATAAGATAGCTATATTTGAATAACCAAATAAAGAAGATGTTGAAGGGTATTTTTTATAAAAAAATCTCTCTCTATTCTTAGTAATCGGGAAGAATATAAAGAGCCTCTTAAAGTTGCTCTAAGATGACCCAAAGAGTGGTTATTGAAGGGCTACCATCACCTTGTAAAAGAACCAGCAATAGCTGACTTTTCTTTTTCTCAGACGAAAAGGAGCCCTGACAATGACACGGACAAAAACAAGCGCTCACAACTGACATTGCTTTGGAATTAATTGTACGAAATACAAAGTAGGTTTAGTCGCATTAGTATTAGGTTGGTGTCCATTTCATTGGATCCCTGTACATGATGATTGACAGTGGAACGACAGTGGCCCATGGGCCATGGGCCCACACCCAATGCGAAGCCGCACCCGGTAGCAACCGGGCCGTATGGGAACAGTCGCGTTTCGCCCCTTGCTGTCCCTCGACTCCCCTCGGCTGTCACGTGTCACGTGCGTGAAGCGTGTCACTGTCACGCCACTCGTGGTGGACCAGCAGCTGTTGGTACGTTGCGGATGCATATCTCATCCCGCGAAATTCGACAGAACATTGATCATCCTAGTCTAGTCAAATAATCTGATTTTCGCGTTGAGGTGAGACGATGTTCACCCACACCAAATCATGTACTCATAACTAACCAATTTCCTGCCTGGGTTTTATACGGTTACCCAATTTATTTAATTGTTTAATTACTTGTGTAATTATCAACAGTTAATTGACTTTAAACACATAAAGTAACAATTCTGTCCAAAACATAGGTAGAATCTGACATGCAACTTCAGACAGCAATAAGTTAAGTTAGTTCTAACTTTCACAACAAGATGGTTCTAGATTTTTTTAGAAAACTTAGCAAAACATACACAAACTTTGTTATAAACACCACAAGCTAATTTCAAAGATAACCAAGTCAAACATCACAAAGAAGACATCTCTATTCAGATTAGGACAGAATCTGTCACTCCGCTTCACAAGCTCATAACTGGAGATTTAGACCACCAAAAGGGGTGGTCTTTAACAATTTAGGTCTTGTTTGGTTCTCTAGTCCATGGACTAAAAGTTTTAGTCCACTTTAGTCCATGAACTAAAAGTGGACTAAAGTAGTGTTTGGTTCCTTGAACTAAAATGGACTAAAGTGGAGAAAGAGGACAATAAATGAGAGGCATAGGTGTTCCTAACACCTTTTAGTCTATTTTAGTCTAGTTTTGTGGACTAAAGGACTAAAGGATTTTAGTCCACTTTTACTTTAAGTGTTTGGCTGTTTGGTCCAACTAAAGTGCAAATTTTAGTTTAAAATACTTTAGTCCATGGGAACCAAACACCTCATTAGAAAGCTCATGAAAAGCACTACACTTCTTCTATTATCTCCAAGACATGATTCAAAGCTTACCTACGTCAAATAACATAATCATTTAGATCTGTACAGAGAGCCTGTAAAACCTGACAGGAAAATTATAAAATCTATAGCTCCTAAATTATAAAGCTTATGGTCATACAAATTTAACACAAGCTAGATTATAAAGTTACCTACAACTTTTGTATTCACTATATTCACATAAAACATCATTATCATCTCGAAAATGATTACACCACAAAAAGTATACATGCAGCTAAATTTCAGAAGATAGCATGTTGATGTTTTCACTTATTTCCCCAAATAGAGATTTCATACATATATCAAGCTCAAACAAACATCCATATGTACATTTCGACTGCATGAATGAACACCAAAACAGGCTGCTCACCTGCCGATTTCGCGGAGCACGAAGCTCTCAGCTTTGCGGCACGGGGGACAGGATCCACGGTCCTCCACGGATCGGCGCCCAGCACCACCCTCCGCGACGGCAGCAGCCTCTCCGCCTTGAGCCTCACCGGCGGGACTCTGACGGAGTAAGCGCCGTGCGGCTTCTCGACGCCGGCCCAAACACGGCCACGCGGCGGCGCACGGACGCCCACGCTGGCTTCCATCTCCTGTCGATCCGACTCGCGCCCGACGAGGAGAGGCGGGCGGGGGCTGTGGCTGCTGGATCAGCCAGCCGCGCCCAGGCGAGGGCTGCTCGTGTTAGGCCTGACTGGTGGAGCCGGCGTTGGATAGGCTGGCCATCGCCCGCCGGGGACCCCGGGGTAATGGAGCGAGCGGCCGGTGAGCGGCGGCGGCGGACGCAGAGGGGGAGGACGGCCTCCGTGCGGAGACGAGGGAATTCAGGAGGCGGAGCTTGGTGGCTTGCGGGCTTTTATACACGACGCGGTCGTAAGTTTGGTTTCCAAAGTTGGGTGGTTTGGTTTCTTGTGGCGGGTCCCGGCACCCCACGTCTCCAGTAATTTCAAGATCAGAAAACCTTTTCGTTTCGCGAGTAGGAGTATTTGGCTTTAAGCTTTTCATGATACGATGATGACAAGCAATTTCATCCTCTTCAAATAGGATATGCTCTAAGTCTCCGTCTATGCATTCCTATAATAACTGCAACGATTTTCTCCGTTTTGTAAATTCCTATTTTGTTTTAAGTATACTATACTATCATATACATTATCTAAATATACATTATATACATTATCTAGATTGATCAAATTTAAATAAAATAGAGAAAATCTAAAGAAAGAAGGGCGGGCCTGGTGCAAACGGTAGACTCTTACCGCCTGTGAGCGGAAGGTCCCGGGTTCGAGTCGCGGTCTCCTCGTATTGCACAGGCGAGGATAAGGCTTGCCACTGACACCCTTCCCTAGACCCCGCACAGAGCGGAAGCTCTCTGCACTGGGTACGCGTCTTTTTTTTAGAGAAAATCTAAAGAAAAAAAGAAAGAGTAAATAACAAAACATGATATTATGTTTCATAATTCTGAAATAGAGTTTTTTAGTATTACTCATTAGGAGTATATATTAATCATCCTATTTTAATTAGGTTCTAATCTAATTAGTAGTAAGTATTTTACTTTTTATTTAATAATCTCTAACTATCATTAAATAAAGGATAGAGCAGTCCTTTTTCTAGAGATTCTAGAAAAACTGAGACAAAGTGAAGCGAAAGATGGTATAAGCAACAAAAAGAAACCCTTAAGTACGGGGTATATATAGTATATATATACTCTGAATCTTGGATCTGACTGAACACGAAAGTTCACTTGTATATCGCATGCAATGCCAATCTGGCATAGAATAATCCAGTGACCTGCCACCAGTCCGCCAACAGAATTGGATTAGCAGTTTGCCCCTCCTGTTCCAAGGACAAGAAAACTCGGAGCGATTGACCAAACAAGACACGCTTTCGGCCCAAACTACACTCAAGACTAAGAGTCAGGAGTCAATCTCCTCTTGAGACACTCAACTCTTTCTTTTATTTTATTTCCAATAAGGTTGTCTCAGTGAAGAGTTTTATAGCACAACTATCAAAACTGTCACATCAGTCTTTGTGTGGGTAACTACACCGACAGATTTCATGTGATGAAACTCTCTCTATCTCTCTTTATAAATAACCTGTCAAGTCATCAAATTTGCTAACCTCTTAAATACAAATAAAACTTAGATAAAACTCCCACTAAGACTGATCTATTAATAATCCTAGCTGCATTTTTTTTTAAACAAAACATGGGCCGTTGAGGTGCCGGGAAGGGCGTTCCGGTCAAGTCGACACATCGAAGGGGGGCCGACCGTCGCGGGGTAGGTTAGTTGAGACTCTTGGCCGGGATGTGCCGCAGTCTCCGGTGGCAGAGGATGCAACTACCACCGCACCGGGGCCCCGTCCGAACCACGTCGGATGCGGCGGCGGAGGAGGGTAGGTGGCCGATGACGACGCCGCGCGCGCGCGGGAGGTGGGACTGAGACGTCCGTTCAATGTATCGTCGCTCTCGCGCTCGGAAGTGGACCACCTGTGGTACCTTACATGGTCAGTTGTACATCGTTTCGTGTTGGTTCAGGAATCCGCAGTTTCGTGTTGGCACAAAAATACAAAATCTGTTGCAATGTAGGAGTACTTAGCAATCGGACGTTCAAATTAAGTGCACTTTTAAGTCATGGACCATGACACTAATGTACTCTACTATTTTCTCTATTTTTAAAATTGCAACTGCTATATGCTGGTACAACTTCTAACAGAGGATATATATGATTTTAAAGTAGTATTGATCTCTTAAAAAAAAATCATTGAACATTATTCGGGAAGATCTTATGCACATATATACCATGTGTTTACCTACCCCTTCGACAAGCTTAAGAAGACGAAAAACAGGTTTGCTGAGGACAAGAAGGGTGCGTGTCGTCATACATATACTTGGACGTTAGGTGCATCCACATAAGCACCCACAGGCCGAGCTTATCCATTTCGAGTCATAATAGCTCATGAAGTCATGATTCACATTAGGCCATGGCGCCATACCATTGACAGGCACAGCACAGGCAAAATGCATCACTGGCTCACTGTTCATCGTCTCTTCGTTCGATTCTGCCTCACGGCCTCATGGGGTGCATGCAACCAAAGTTTCCCAACAGTAATCCCGTTGGCCTCAACCAAACACTGCGGCTTTGTTTTGTTGTACAAGGGAAAGGATGGCAGCTTTTTAGCTCTTTTTTTAAAGGAGATTTTCACATTTAGATTCTTGGGACGGAGAAGCATTTGCCAAAAGGATCCCGAGCACGGTGCCAAACGTATGGGTACAGTGCACGGGGTATACGTGACGCCTCCGTGTCTTTTGGCGTCGATCAATCCTACATGGATCTTACGTGGCAGAGGATACGTCGTGAAAGGACATGCCCAGACCTCAGCGCCAAAGGTTGCTGCGCCAAGGCCTGCCTACTATTATATTTCAAAAACATGTCTAAAGTGAAAGAAATTTATTTGCCCCGTAAGTTAGTGGGTATAATCGTGTGCGAACTGGAATTGGCATGTAGGCCATAAGAATGCACCTAAAGCTTCAATAAGCAGACCTATGATTTCACCCTGTTCTACCGTGTAGGACATGGCGTGAGCGCATGCAGAATGACTTCATCACAACAGCACAACCGAGGAACCGTGTAGAAATGTCAGCCCGGGAAGGTTTCACACGCATCAATGCATCACTGGCCACAGGACGCAAAAAAATCTAAAGAAGGGGGACCGAACCAACAAGGGATCCCGCAGGCCACAGCACCGATCAGCGAGAAGGACTGAAAATCGACGATGACCTGGCGTTGTTGTCCATATGAACTCCGTAGCATGTCTTTCTATGGACTGCAAATTTTGTAGCATGTCTTTCAGAGAATTATTATCTGATGGATAATTCTCTCGATGATGTTGGACCAATTGTGCTGCTCCAAACTTCATCATGATCACCCATTCAGCCTCCTTGTGATCTCATACGCCAAGGGTAACAAGAGATCAATGTTCTTCACCTCCTCCGACCGAAAAATACCCTGCTTTCACTCGTGTGTGATGCTGGCAGGTCCGAGGGTGATCAAGGCAGCCCTTTGCTCTGCACTACATCCAATCCTGTGCGTCCAGAAGTCCAAGATGAAGGAAGATGTGTCTGTCTGTTTGGAATGCCTTGGTGCTTGGCCTGATTAGCCGAACTTTCTCTTCCATAGTTCCCTTCTACTCTGAAACTGAGCCAATATGTCGAACTATGACCGTATAAAATATGCATAATGAAGGGGGTGGAGGGATAATAGTGGACATGTGTAGCACCAGCAGCAAGTGAAGGGGTAGGTTAAAAAAATAAACGAGCAGGGGAGTTGGGCTAAGGCCCTGTTTGGTGGGGATTCTCTCTGGCTCTAGCTCCAGCTTCGGATCCTTCGGAGAAGCCCTACCAAACGGCTTAATAGGAGGAGCCGTTTGAAGCGTCTTTCAAGGAGGAGCCGAAGCTGTTTTCCTCCGGAGGAGCCCTTGGGGAGGAACCCTACTAAACAAGGCCCTAAGTGCTACTCTCTCCATCCCTTTTAATTTGAAATCCCCAGATTTTATTTTATTTTTTGAATCGGAGGTGGCCCCATTTCCATTAATGACATTAACGGAAATACAACGTTTGACATAGCGAGCCGTTAACCAAAGCCAGTTAGCCCAAGGACAGTGCCCAATATTACAGAAAACATTTGTGGGAAACATTCCACTCGCAACTAGCGGCCGCAGACAAAAACAACCAGAAATCCCCAGATATATGAATGAATTCATGAAAGATATTGGCTAATCTCATTACGACAACTCAGGCACCAACGGTTTCCATTGGTCAGATTAACATTTACCAACATTTATAAGCATCATATTCTGCCTCATCTCTCTCAGCTGTTACAGAACTAATTAAGCTCAAACCAGCAAAATGTCGTTTTTAAAATGTTCATGGTTACTTTTTTCTGCACACAGGTGAGTTCAGAAAACCACAGCATTTGTAGAGAGGACGAGGCATACTTCTCTTGATGGAATGGAAAATCTCAGTGCTGCATCATACATCTCAATGACAACATAAGGATTCCAAAAACTGCAAGCAGCAAAGGTTCTCACCAGACATTTCCTATAATTGGTTCTTTTCTCAAACAATCCTGCAATTGGTTTTGACAGGGAGATTGATTGTCAATCAGATATAAAATCATCATCAGTATCACATTCCTTAGTTTCACTGCCCTCCCACATACAGTGGAGTCCATCTTGAGGCTTCAACCAGTCCAATTTCGTAATGCTATCCTAACCCTAGAATGGAAAAAGAATGCAGGATAACCAACCTAACAAAAGGTCACAGTGGCATAATCCTTCCTTCGGGCATTTTTCTGTCAACTCGGCCAATTCTTTGGGGTGGCCAGATTATGTGTGTGACCCTGCCGCGCAACAGACCCATAGGAACCTGCAGGTATAAAGTGTTTTGGATGTTTAGTAACAAGATCATAGATGCCTAGAAACTCGATCTGCTACACTGTGCAAACAAGTATTTCATAATGAGTGCTGCTGGAGCCTGGGCGCCATTTGCTTGTCTCTTTAAAGGACAGAAAGATATGAACACTCAGAACCGAAAAAAGCTCAACGAGGCACTGGCCTACTCTTTTATACTTGCCCTCCTATGCTATTAGAATTAGAATAAAAGGCTAGCAAGATATCGGCCCCGTTCGGCTTACCTTATAATCCGCACTATTCAGCTTGTTTTTTCAGCCGGAACGGTGTTTTTCTCTCACAACAATTCAGCCAGAACAATGTTTTTCAGCCAATTCAGCCAAGTTTCAGCAAGCCGAACGGGGCCATCATATCATAATAAACCATGAGGAAACTATCATCAGAGAAAATGAACAGGAGTGGAGATATTGAAGGCTTCAAGCTAGTTTTATCCACCAAACAAACAAGAAATGAAATTGATACTTTGAACTTTTTAATGGGGATACAAATATGAATAATGAAATAGCATTGTGTCAATGGCTCGGATTTGCAAAGCATACAGTTAAATTCCTCCAGTGATCAAGATGCCAATTCAAGATGAAGATGCTTTCATCAAGATTAAAAAGATCCCTAGGAATAAATGACTAAAACTATCACTTTGGTAACCAAGTAAGCAACTGGCTTTTATCCTGTAACACAGCTACACAATCAGGCCTTCCTTTTTGCAATTAACAAGCAATTTATCCTAGGTCAATAACGCAGTTGTGTCCAGTAACGAGATGAATAACTTACAGGGCCATAGGATCTCGAGTCAAAGCTGAGGGCGGCATTGTCCCCTTCAACCCAGCAATGGCCCTCCGGGATCTGCCGGATCTCCTGCTTCTCCGGGATCTGGATCCAATCCCCAGGCAGCGCAATCAGCCTCTTCACCATCAGCTCACGATGGTCCCTCGGCGACCTGCGACGAGCAACAGCAGCGACATCAACAACCAACCAATCCAAGAAACGCAACGGACCCGGAGGCGGGCGGGCGGCGGCGACTTAACTCACCTGAACACGACGACGTCGCCGCGGGAGAAGTCGTAGCGGTAGAGACAGCGCTTCTCCACCAGAGCGCGCTCGGCCTGCTGCGGGTCGAAGGTGGGGTGCATGGAGGCGCCGTCCATGGTGACGACGGAGGCGACCCAGTCGGCGACGGTGATGCCGAGCACGCTGCCGGTGATGCATCCCTTCACGAGCGGCCAAACGGCGGCCAAGGCTCTTGCCATGTGCGAAAAGGATCGGGACCTCGACGGGTGGCCTGGGCACCTACGACGCGGAGGCCGGCGAGCGACTTTGGGCTGGAGGATCTGTTTCGAGAACACTTTGGGTCGTCGGAGCCGGAGGAGGAAGATGTAGACGAGGAGGAGGATGAGGTGTGTTTCGAGCCCTTATTTTTTGACGAGAGGATGGAACCCAACTGGGCCGTGCGGAACGCTGAGAGGCTGAAGCGGGAGGCGGAGGAGAAGAAGCGGGAGGAGGAGGAGACGAAGCGGAAGGCGGAGGAGAAGAAGCAGATGGAGGAGGAGCTCGTCTGGAGGAGGAAAAAGCATGCCGCAGTCATTAAGTCAATCCGCAAGTACGATCCAAAGGCAAAATCTCTCTGGTGTGGACCAGATTCCACTTCGAGGACTTCTACAATTTCGACCTCGACGAGGAGTGTAAGCCCAATTCCATAGCGATTTTATTTATTTAATTGTTTACCTGCATATTGCCAAAAATCAGTCAATTTAATTGCTTCATCTTCAAAGGCTGTGTTTATTAAAAAAAATCGATGGCTTATCAGGTTTGGAGTGGAAAGAAACCACAACTTGCAACACTTTATTGTTAGTTAGGAGTTCAAGAGTTTGTTTATCTAGCTAGCTCTCAAAAGTTGTCTTTTGCTTGTGGTTGTTGACGTTTTTTTATAGTCTTTGGTAGTAAATTTTTAGTTTATCGGCACACCAAAAGTCACAAAAAGCTCTTTCGTCGTGTTTTTTTAGCTTTTATTTACAATTCATTTTCTCAGAAGTTATCTTTCTAGGTTTTCAAAAGGCAGCACAACAACAAACTAGACCGTTTGTTTTGGCTTATGGCTCTCACTCCTCGCAGAACCCAGCAAACAAACCGAAACAAATAGGACCAATTCCGTTTGTTTTAACTTTTTTTAGTCTTTTGATCTTTTCATACATATTATCATTGTGTTACAGTTGAAATCTCATTTTATATCATTTTGTTGTGCGGTGTCCTATGTGTACTCCAACTTTCATCATCACCAGTTCCATTGGCTGCAATTTAATTATTAGGCATGCTTATAAGGAAATTGTTATTTACTCAAAATCATTTGATCGTGCAGCTGTTTGAAATTTGTTAGCTTGTGTTTTTTGCTATCTAGTAATGGTATAAATAACCCATTTTGCTGCAATGTCAATCAACTGTACATATGACTGTGACTCTATGATGCCATGAGCTGTTTGTCACAGACAATTGTGTATGGTACAGCCATAGCAAGAGACTACCTTGACTTTAAATGTGTTTATCTCTTCCGCTGCCACAGAAGGGATTCCCAGCTCATCAAGTCACAGGTAGTGCATGAATTCATTCTACCTTGGCATTTGGCAAAGACCTTTTCTTGAAATTTGTTATGCATGTTATAACTTAACTTGTGATTTCAAATTTTTCAACTATCTATCACTATTGGTTGTCAATAAACATGTGCATGAATTTTATTATATACGATGGCAATTCTAATTTTTATAGTTTGTGGTGCTTACTATATATAACAGTACTTGTTTTTTTAGTTTTTCACAAAATGCAAATGTAGAAAAATAATTGGTATGTTTGTGTTATGTTTATTGCTAGCACCTGATGTAGGTCTTGAGTAGAAATGAGGTATTTGGTTTAGATATGGTCCTACCGCCTGAGTCTGGATAAACACAATGTCTCACCTGCATAACAGCTTTCAGTACTTGCCTACAGCTCGCACCGATGCAGTGTATCTAGAGAAAGATGTCGCTAACCTATTTTGTAATCTTCCATAGGATAAATCGCTGATCTTGACTGGCCCAGCTCGAGGACTTATCTTGTCAGATTTTATATATCTCGAGGTGGATCTCAAGATTAATGGCGCGCGGGGGCAGGACAAACAACTTAGCAAGGGATTGCTTGAGATTGATGGCCGAAAAGTTACCCGATTGGAAACAAATGAGGTTATGCAGGTCACTTGTGCTAGTCAGCTTAGCACTGTGGAGGTGAAATTTACGGTTGTTAACAGAGCAGTGGAGGCCACTGTTGAGATTCATGTCCTCTGGGGCTATTTCCACGGCCAAATCTCAGCTCACACCAGCAGCATCCTCGATGAATTTGTCCTTTTTAAAGGTGAAACAGGTGGCGTGTTTACTAGTGATGGCAGTAGAATTATCCCACTGTGGCTTCGCGTCGTGAATGTATGTTTGACAGAGAAGCTGATCTTTACAATTGAAACTAGAGATGGCACCAAACTGATCATCGAGTCAACTCCAGCCACACATGGTTCAGATTGCTATGAATGTCCTTTCGGTTCTGAGAAGTTCCGTGTGAAGGTAACTTAGTCAGTAACAAAGATTACAGACATAATTTGGCCCTGTTAGGGCCAGCAATGTACGGATTTATCATCTAAGTATTTGTAATCCAGTCAGATTATTTTTCTTCATCATGAGAAAAAGAACCATGTGAGCACTTTGAGATTGATTGTATGAAAAGGGCTCTACATACTTCCTTCGGAATCTGCAATAGATTACATTTATCGGGATTGCAATCACAAATCGAACCTCCAATGAATCCAACACCTCCAAACAAATCACTAAGCTGCCCGTGGATCCAATTCGAACCTCCAATGAATCCAACACCTCCAAACAAATCACTAAGCTGCCCGTGGATCCAATTCTTTCCCAACAGGAAGCCTTTATTAGACACCTGCCCAACCAATTCTGACAAACCTCTCTTCCCCGACCGCGACCGACCCATCCAATCCTCCAATTCCAACTGCCTTGTAGCAATTTCCCTCTCGATCGGTATCGGGGATTTCATTCATCAAACTCTCAAGTTGAGCGTGTGCTTGAGGTCCCCGACGTGCAGCGTGTGGCTGCCGAGCGCCACCTTCCTGTTACCCAGCTCGTCCACGACGCTGAGGTCCTTGCACACGTCCACCTTGAACGCCACCACGCCCGCCTGCCCGGGCTCCAGCGACACCTTCTCGAACCCCAGCAGGTGCTTCGCCGGCGCGTTGTGCACCGCCGGCGGCGACGAGAACAGGAACACCGTGTGGCCGCCGGACATCTTGCCCGCGTTCCGCACCCGGAGGTGCACGTCGAACGCCAGGCCCTCGCAGTGCGCGCCCTCGGCCTCCACGGACGGGCAGCGCTCGGTCAGGCACGTGTGGCCCTCCGCGAGCTGCAGGGCCACCTGCTTCGGCGCCGACACCAGGTGGTGCGCGAAGCTGGTGTAGCTCAGCCCGTCGCCGAACGCGTACACCGTGTCGCCCGTGTAGAACCGGTACGTCCGGCCGGGGTAGCCCGTCGACGGGTCCGGCCGCATGCGCATGTCGGTCATCGGGACCTTGGTGAACGACTCGGGGTACCACGTCACCGGCAACCTTCCACCTGCGCGACCACCATCATCAAAACAGTCAGTCATTCTCAGTAGGGACAGACAGACAGACAGAGCTATGCATTGCGGACGCAGCTAGCGTGCAGTGTAATTACTTGGGTTGTGGTAGCCGAAGAGGACGTCGGCGATGGCAGCGCCGCCGGCTTCGCCGGGGTATCCGACCCAGAGAATCGCAGCGATCTTGTCGCTGGACTTGGCGAACGAGATATCGAAGGGGCCGCCTGACATGACGACGAGGATGCACGGGCCTCTGGACGCGTTGGCGACCGCGGACACGAGCTGCGGCTGCTGGCCCGGCAGCAGGAGGCTCGTCCGGTCCAGGCTCTCGCGCTCGATGGACTGGTCGGCGCCGACGACCAGCACGGTCACGTCAGCGCTGGCCGCGGCCTTGGTGGCCGCGTCGAGCTGCAGGCTGTTGCCGCTGCAGCCCACGTTCGTGCACCCCGGCTGGTACACGGTGGCCACGTTCGCGCCCAGGCCCTGCAGCGGCGGCGTGTACTTGCACGGCGTGCCTGTATGCCATCGATCGGACACAGACAGCAGTAGTCAGTGAGCATGTTCTTGCCTTGCTTAAGAGTTAAGACAGAGTTCTTGACATAAGAATTTCTTGGATGATCGTCATATACTACGTACTGTACCTTCGTAGTTGCCGATCATGGTGAAGCTGGCATTGGCATTGGGGCCAATGACGGCCATTGACTTGATGGAGCTGGCGGAGAGCGGGAGCGCGCCGCTGTTCTTGAGGAGCACGATGCCCTGGCGCGCGGCCTCGCGAGCCAGCTCCTGGTTGGAGGACGTGCACACGTCGCTGGGGCCAAGGTTGCCGAACGGCAGCTCCCGCGGGTCGCCGTCGAAGAAGCCCAGCCGCATGAGCGTGACGAAGTTGTTGGTGATGGCCCGGTCGACGTCGGACTCCGACAGCTTGCCGGCCTGCACGGCCGCCACCGTGTGCTGCGCCAGGAAGTTGCCGCAGTTCAGGTCCAGCCCTGCCGGAGTCAGCACACGTGTGAAGACGTCGTCGAAATGGTGAACTGTTGTCGTAGCAGAGCACCAGCATGAATGAGCAGGGCCGTTGCCGGTTTGGCATAGTACCTGCTTTGATCGAGATGGCGGCTGCGTCCTCGGGGGTTTTGGTGTAGTGTTGGTTGTTGTACAGCACATCGACCGAGTCGCAGTCTGACGAAATGTACCTACAGAGATCAATCACCATTGGGCTAACATTTCAGAATTAAGCAGCATTTTGCCATTTGAGCTCTCCTAAACTTTCAGAGCTTAAATACACAAGATTAATGGCATTGTTAAAGATGTTTTCTGAACATGAGATTAGTTGCAGTTCTGCAAAAAGTCATGGTGGATTTGGATTGGATACACACCCGTTGAGCTTCCAGTCCCCTCTAATGACTCCTGACAGGAGATCCTTGTCGGCACAGGTGGGCTTCCCGTTGACCTGGTTGTAGGAGCACATGACGCTGGCCACGTTCCCGTCCACCACGCAGCTCTTGAACGGGGGCTGGAACGTGTCGTCCAGGTCCTGCTGCGACACCTGATGAACCCACATCACAAAGCCGAAAGATCAGAATGCTGAAACTTGCCGCGTTCGCGTTTCTCTGGACCATCCATCCATCTCGCAAGGGATCTTCAGAGACTGTCAGTACGTCTCGCTGCGTAACAGCGATCATGGACTGATGATTGCTTGGAAAGAAACACATGGTTAGGTTAGGTGCGTCATTGTGTTATCTAATAATCTGCCTAGTATTCCCAGACCAATATACAAACCCAAAAGCCAAAATGTTCTTCTCGTGATCCTGGCAGATACTAGATATAATATGGTACAGTTTACGATAGTGCTCTATCCTCCAAGGGACCAAAGGCATTGAAAAATGGCGCGTCCAGAACAGCAGCGCCCGAGCGCTGCCACGGAGGCGCGAATGCAGGTTTGTTTATGCGTCTCGGTGGACAGAGATCGGCCATTTCGGGGAACGGCCTGTCTGAAACCACCGGAATCTGATGGGATTAACAACTGCTAAAACAAAAATCCGTGGTGGTCGATGATCATTGATCAGTGGTGAGTGACGCATGTTGCCGGCTTTGTTTGTTAATCTATACTAGATGTGCGCGTTGGGACATTCCCTAATCAATCATTCTTCTTTCTTAATACGGGGGATTCTCCATGTATCTTCATCTTCCGGTGCTTCACCCTAATCTTTTCTTTATTACTCCGTATTACTATAAGAGAGGCTGAGAGGGAGAGAGAGAGAGAAAAAAAAAAGAATAAAGGGACGTTGCCATGCAAGGAGCACTAGATGTTGACGGCAAAAAGGTCGTCATCTCATCGGCGCAGCTTTGCAGCCAAGCCACAGAATGGGAGAAGCAAGCAGTGGCCAGTGGCCGTATACGGCGAACTTGGCGTAAAGGCCCTATCGCTAAGTGTAACATCTACTACTGTCGGTGACAGTCAGTGTGCATGAACTTGATCCGATCTAGGGCATCACTTACTACGTTGATCAGGGACGGAGGACCATACAAAAGCAGAACGGACATGGATGGATCATTTAAACAAAGCAACGAAAGCGAAAGGCTGGTGGCTGCCACATGGGTCAATCCCCAGCTGACCCTGGCCGGGCCCGGACGCGCTTTCTGTTCTGTTAGCAGGTGCAGCCGTGCCGTGCTGCTGCGCAATGTGCACGGCAGCAGGCCGGTGCACTCATTTACTTCTCGTAGCAAGCATGACTGGCTGGCGGTCTATTCAATTTGTGCAGAACGGCAAGCAATCCGGCACAAGCGGCGACGCGACCGTACGTCGCCGCTGCCTGCCCGAACGTGATGGTAGCTTGGCTTACCACGGCGTTGAAGGTGTAGCGCTCGACGCCCTTCCAGTTGTCGACGTCGTAGGCGGTGTAGTGCTTGCAGCAGGCGGCGACCTTGAGGCTGTCGCCGGCGCCGGCGTTCTGCAGCCCGGTGACGTAGCCGACGGCGTACTTGCTGGTGAGCAGCGGGTCCTCGCCGGGGGTCTCCTGCCCTCGGCCCCACCGCGGGTCGCGGAAGATGTTGATGTTGGGGCTCCAGAACGTGAGCCCCGCCAGCCCCACGTTGTGCATCGCTCGCGCCTCGTTCGACACCACCTGCATCGTCAGTGGTAGGATTCAATTCAATCATCATCTTACCGTCAGATCTCGTCGTCAGAATCAATTCTTCAAAATGCAGTGCAGTAATCGCGTCGCTGGTGACCAATTCCAAGTACAGTCAGTGTGTCGAGCATGCATGCATGGTGGTGGCGGCGTACATTGTGCATTCAGCAGCTAGGCACGATCAGGCTACGGCCTACGGTAGGTGCACCCGAGAGAGATAAGATGCCATCCAGCCAGGCAGGGCAGGACTCAGGAGTCGCGTTTGTCGGCACAGTGCTCACTGCTCGGTGCCCAGTCCTTGCTGGAATGCTGGATTCTTGTGATAAGCTTTATTAGGCCGGTGCGCTGCAAATTAAAATCCGTGCTGCTATTACTGGTAGCAGTAGCTTCTCTGAATTTCTCACCTCACTACCGCAGATGCGAAATCCAGGCACGAAACGAGCAAAGATCAATCGATCCTCGGACCAGCGACGGCACCGCCTCTTGCCAAACCCGACGAGGGCGAGAGCTACACGATGATGGGTTGCAGCATGGCTTGACCAAAAGCAAAGCTAATCAGATTCAGATGACACTCACACCATGGCGCAGCTAGCTTTTCCCGCTGGATGAATGTGAACTCCGATTCCTCTCCGTGCATCTCCATGAGACCATGAGAGACAGCGACGCCGCAACGGATGGGAGCGGGGCGGAGAAGTGGGCGCGGGGACGAAAAGGCTCAGCGGCTGCCTGCCTGACAGGCGATGCGCTAGCGTCCAATAAATGCAGTCCGCGACCGCGAGGTATCGTCTGTCTACAAGAGCTGCTGCGCATGTCGGTACGCACTATGCATATTTGTTTGGGGATGCACACAACACAACAAGGTCACCGGCCAGACCGATATTTCCAATGTGGTCCTTGTGTGCTTGCGTTACTAGTACACCTGCATGCTCCAATTAAGACAACACTAGTGCAGTGTGTTAGTTAATTAGTTAATGCCCCTTCCGGATCAGAAAAACCAATGCCGTTTTAGGGCCCGTTCGCGTGCCCTTAAACTCGGCTCGGCTTGATTCGTTTTTTTTTTTCATTCGAAACAGTATTTTTCTCACAAATTTCTCCAAACTATCCAAATTCCTCCAGAAGCATACCATCCAGAAGCATACTATCCGAACGGGGCCTTAGCATTGTGTACCTATTACCAAAAATCGAAAATGTACTACTGACCTCTTAGCATATACGGAGTTTAGCGTGCAACATACAAAATTGTAACGATCGTATGTGACACTTACTTAACGTGCAATGTACAACACAAAATTGCACAGATGCCTGTTACTCGAGTCAAAAAAAAATACTGCGCCTTAGTTACTGACCCCTTACAGATATCAAATTGTTACCAAACTTTTAGCATTGTGTAGCTATTACCAAATACTAAATTGTAGTTGGAGTAGTAATGCAAAAAAAAAACAGTGGGCTCCAGGGTACAGTGGGACACCCCTGCCCCGTAAAACGGTACTGTGGCGCTGCTACATTAGTGCCCGTAAATCTTGGACGGCCGGCCAGAGGACAGAGACCAGTTGCATTGCATTTGCATCTGATTTAACACCGATGCTGGATCACCAACGTACTAACAGTACTGACATAATTATGTTCGGGCACACCTCTAATCAGTCCTTGCCCACAGTCCCCTTTTCCCTTTTCTTAACGGCGAGGGATCCCAATGATGCTCGACGCGTGACATGTGAACATAAATAAACCTAAGACTCAGCGGTATCAATCATTTTTCTTCTTTATTTTCTTTACTACTCATTTTTCCTTTTCACGATATCATCTTTTTTGTACTCGACCCGGCCGTTGCCATTGTTTTGCCGTTTCAATCAGTACTCACCATGGCACACATCTCCATCGCCAGCCATGACTCTCCATGAGCAAGAAACAAGATTACGCAGTGCAATGCAAGTATAGTATAATCCTATAAATCGATGGATCCTATCCATCAACTAGCTGTAGGCAAGATTACAAATTGCAGCTACACTTCTTTTGAACTGATGGCACGTCGTGGTAGTAGTAGCTGGTATGGTATTGAGACTGCGTCGCCGATCGATGCAAGTGCAAGGCCGCCGGCGAAAAGAATCCAAAAGGGGCGGGACTAGCATAGCAGCATACGATCCGGCCCGGCGGCACGCTTTTGCGGCTTTTCTTGCCGTGCCCTGCCGCCGCGCATCGCATGGAGGGAAAGTTGGGAGGGAAAAGCAAGGCACATTCTCCTCCTGCTCTGCACCGAATCACAAATCGCCCCGATCCGGCACACACCAACCGGCACCGAGAAACCTCGCCGTCGAATCAACCAGCCCCACACACACTCCCCATGCGTCCCCACCAAGCGCGATCGAGAATGGCAATGCGGGCAGCGCAATGCTGGACCTGGTGCAAATAAATGCTACGGAACGGAGCAGAGCAGAGCAGAGCGTACGGGGGGCAGAGGAGGACCAGAAGTCAGAAGAAAACAGCAGAGCAGGGGGGGCGGAGGAGGTTGTGGCGGTGGCGGCTCACCTCGCCGATGGCTCGGAAGAGCGTGGCGTTGAAGGAGGCCGCCGTGAGGATGGGCTGCGGGAAGCTGGTGGCGGCGGGCACCAGCGGCGAGAACCGGGTGCCGGGCCCCACGTAGGAGACGCCGTGCAGCGCCTCCGACCACCACTCGTACAGCGGGATGCCCAGCCGGGGGAGCGCCACCTGCTTGTCCACCAGGAACCCCACTTTCTCCGCCAGCGTCAGACGCGCCACCAGGTCCGCCGCGCGCGCCGACGCCGACGCCGACCGGTTGCAGAACCCGTACGACGCCAGCGTCGCGTTCGACGCGTCGCACGCGAACACCGGCGTCTGCGCGCGCGCCACATTGCAGGAGCAGAGCAGCAGCAGCGACGCCGCCGCGGCGACCGCCAGCGCCGCGGCCATGGTAGCTACAGGCAGCTAGCTCGCCGCACCCCGACCTTCTGAACTGAACTGATTCTCGGTCACCACCAGCCCGCTCGTAGCACAGGCGCTAGCAGCGGCATATATAGAGTGGTCTCGTCAGAGTGGGTGGTGGGTGGTGTGAGCAACAGCTGGTGAGGTGAGGCCGAGGGGGCGCCCCCGTGACGGGGACGGCGGTGGAGGGGAGGGCCGACGTGGGAGGCGCCCTTATTTTTCTCGTCCTCTTCTTTGCGAGCACTGTGCTCGCGCCTTGTATTCTACTGAGTCCGTGACGCGGTTCTTGGAGCCATCCTTCCAGGCTTCCGGCTATCCTCTTCCACCTGACTGAGCCTCCCTCGATGAATGCATGGTGAAGTCGTGAACTTGTGATGCTCTTCTATCCCCCGGCTAAGGGGAACCTAGTGATTGTTTAGGCCATGGCATTATTGGCTAGGCTAAAAAAGTCGTAATCCTAGTAGCAATAGAAAAGTGTAATAGAGAATCACATCTCTATGGTCCTGTTCGTTTCTCTTATAATCCGTACTTTTTAGCTTTCTCTCACAACAAATCAGCCGGAACAGTGTTTTGGTTTGTTTTTTCAGCAAAGCGAACGGAGTCATTTCAAGTGTACGTTTTTCTCGAGTGTTTCAGGCGCGCAAAGTATTCAGTGTTGCACACGTTTTTCTTAACAGTAACATGATGCTATAACCCCCACATTAATAGTACTGACATCACTCTTTGATTCAGACGTTGATTTTCAATGCTGCAACCCATCGCCTGGAAAACGTATTTCGTTCCATAAGCAAGAGCCTTTGGTCGTATTTTCTATCCATACATGATTCTGTAACAAAAAGATTATGTGATTACATTCATATTTTAAAAAATGCTTACTTATTATTGTGATTTTTACTACATAAATAAATATCATAACAATACAGTATTTTGTTGCTTAAAGAATTGTCATTTAAAGAATTGATATGCTCTTTGGCTAAGGAACTTAGTGATTGTTTATGGAATTCTTTGTAGGCTAATAGCTAGCTATAAATAAATAATGAAACAAATCACGCCTATTTCAAGTGCCTGAAAATTTTGATAGTTTCATGCAAAATATGCAAAGTTACAAATAGCTCTTCAACAATGATGTGGGTTAATGGAAGATGGAACATAATGTTGTAACTCCCACATTATTATTGCACACATTGTTCTTCAATGTTTTAGACTTTGGTTCTTGATGATGCAATTTGTCATTTAAAAAAATGTTAAGTGTCGACACTGAAATATAATAATTCCCATTTGGGAAAACGCTAGTACTATGTTGTAGCTTAAAAGAGTTACTCCCTCTTGTGCCAAAAATAAATATGTTTGGGCTTAGGACACTCATCGTGGAAGTACAATTTTGATGACATGGTAAAAAAAGAGAATGATGAAATGAGTTCCACCTAAATGAAACCTAGGCATTGTTTCCAATAAAATTCTCAGTGTCTCATAGAATAAATGCATCAAGTGTCTCATAGAAGGTTGTTTCAACCATTAATTAAATGTTTTTTTGGTTGATGTGGTATAACGTGAGCTTTGGGCTAGCTACTCCGGTGTACGTGACCGACGGAGTCACGGAGTAGTAGGCTTTGGGGATGGACGAGAGATTCTTCTTCCACGGAAAGCGCGGTGGTTGCCACCATGGAAAAGGAAACGCAACGAAGACGCACAATGCGTATGAGATCGATTACCGACACATTCGGTGGTTGAGCCGGCCACCTTCAGAATAGAACATCAGAACCGTCGCAGAGTGTCACGTCATGAGCAGCTCCAATTCGGCCGGCGCGGCTCGTGGCTATGCTGCTACCCTCCAATGTGCGCGTGTCGCTCCATGCGTTGCTTTGATCGCAGTCGCTGGACCATCGGTGGTTACGCGTCCTGTTTTCAGCAGCCGTATACGGGGTAGTACAGAAATGAGAGATAAGGCTATACTTATACGCACTGGATGGACGGATGCATCGCATGCGTGCATGTTTAATTTCCCTGGGATCCACACATGCAGATTTCAGGCCGTATCGTCATGTCCATCACATGACCCAGTGCGTATCGACACGCAGGGACCGTGTCTCCTCGCAGTCCAGAAAACCGGTTTCAGATGACCATCATTGCTGTTTCCGTGTGGCTATACAGGCCTTGATGATCCGCACCGAACGAATCTGCCTCTTAAACGGCCGGCGTCGCGAGTGCGCGTTTATCTCGACGGCGACGCGCGTTCGGGATCAGGGCGACGGTTTCGGGCCGCTGGTCCTTCTCCTGCGCGGCGAAGCCATCCGGTGGCCTGCCGGGATTGCACGTCAAGCGGATTTCGCCCATGAATATTTCGCGTAGGATGAAACGGCAACGTCAGGTCCAGATCTCGAGCTCAGAGGTCTCGGGTCAGATGGAAAGTTCCCGTCCGGAAACAGGGCAATGTGCCTTGCTTGCTTTCGCAAGTCAGAGCTGCGAGCATGCCCAAATGGTCTCGGTATGAAATCTTACCGGTCAATGCACCGTCGCCGACTCACCGCACGTGATGGAGAGTTGGAGACAGTTCTCTTTACGTCGGAGGGGAGTACGATACGAATCGCTTCCATGACGTGAAATACGGAAGCCTCTCCTGAACCCTATATACCATTTCCTTCCCGGCACGTCTGCCTGTATGTCTGTCAGGTTGCACATCACCACCTGATAAAAGGAGCAGTC